TACCCACAAAAAACCCCCCCCCAAACAAAACCACCCCCCCCCCCCCTCCCAACCACCGCCACCAAAAAAAACCACCAAGAGGAAGGGTAGAAATGTTGACCAATCAAAATGAAGCCTTCATGAAATGAACCACCAACAAAGTTCTAAATGGAAAAAAAATATTCTAGAAAAGCTAGAAACAGGGAAACAATGTATAAACTTATCCCAGTGTTATATTGTATCAAACTATCACCAAAACTAGCATAAATATAAGCATCTGAAAATCATAACAGTGTGTCAAGATTATTCAAAGCACCAGCAACCATTGTGAAAAATCAGGGCGTTTGTTGTGATGTCTAGATTTACCTGCAGGAAAGGTCGGCGTAGCAGTAGTTCAGCAAATATACATGCTGCAGCCCAAACATCCACCCCAGGACCATATTGTTTGGCACCAAACAACAGCTCAGGCGCTCTATACCATCGAGCGAAAACCTAATCAAAAGTAAATAGGGAAAAAAAAGTAATTGGTGATGTAGGAGGTTGCATCAATCAATTTGTTGAAAGAACAGAACACTGGCTTGTGACTTGTGAGAGACCTTACCAGGATGACCATTCAATGAAGTTCATACGTGGTCTTACTAATTGTGAAATTTTACCAGCTCTTTCCATCAAAAGCCAAAATATGACCCACAAATTGATTTATCAACAAACTAAGCCACGACAAACCTCGTGTCAAATAATGAGCCTCAGCAACATGAATCCAGTCTCACCATCCTGTTGTGCTAAGGGTTATATGTTCAGTTAAACTACAACACCCATACCATTTTTACTTCTTCATTCCTAGTCAAATCTAGTCTTCATTTTCGTTAATGGTGATCATACATTCTCCCATAAGGGTGCATCAGTTGGTCTTCATATTTACATGTTCAAAGCATTTCAATATATTCTCTCTCAACTAATCTTCAATTGGTGTTACTTGTGTCCTCCCATAATTATATTCAATTTCAATTCCTTTTTTTCTAGTCTTACTACCTATCCATCTTAAAATTCTCATTTCAACTATGCTAATTTTGTTAATGTGTTGTTTCTTAGCTGTCCAATATTTTATCTCGCAAATCATAGCTGGCATCATAGCAATACTATAAGATTTTCTTTTCAGTTTCAGTGGAATCCTTAGAGCTTCCCTATAGCCCATTAAAATTGTGGCGTAATGAGCCAGAAGCACATCTCCACTTGGAACCCACTTACTCTAATTTTGTGTGTCACATTATCCACGATATAGATACAACGATATGACAAAATCTTGAAAAGAGAATATAAATACCGCAAGGATACGCATGCAACAAAATATATTTTCATGTGGTTATTATCATATGACTTATACAAATTATAATTTCAAATGATTTTAATAATTAATTGAAAATAAAAAATTCATGGAAAGAACAATTTGGCAGCAGAAAATGGTCTGTGCAAACAGCCACAGAAAATCAAAGCTCTATCTTCTGATAACTTTGGTCTAGTTGGACAACTTTGCCGACTAGCTGGAGAAGATCCAATGGTTAGCCACAGGGGAAATTGTTCCTCAAGACCTAATGAAGAACAGATGCACAAGTGGTTTCATAGTGAAAAATTGGCAGAAAATTCCACCAGACATGCTACTCCGCTCCCAAGGACAGAACATGTACACTGAGAAATTGCTTACCAATTGGAAAGCACAACCAGGCATCCAATATCTCAACCAACATCAAACTCTCTTGGATCAGCTCTCCCTCTTTCTCTCTCTCTCTCTGTGTCCCCCCCCCCCCCCCCGGGGAAAAAAAAAATTAAATAAATAATGCCTCCAGAGAAGAAATTCTGCAAACAATCTGCCGCATTTGAAATCATTTTATCTTGTATTGTCCACTCTTCTTCTTTTTCTTCATCTTACTGTCTTTCTTCTCACGAGAAAAAGCTGGGAATAAACCACTATGACAGAATTCTTAATTTTTGAAAAAGGGGGGCCCAAATCATAGATGTATGCTTCTTTGTGTTTATCAAATGTTCTTTAAACCCCTTACCCATGATAATTAGAAATCTTTCTCGTGATTTCTCCTGATAGGACCCACTCCCACTAAACAACAACATTCTACACAGGTGTAAGCATGAGAAAATTCCAAATTTCTCAGGTAATATCCATATAATATTGCTATCATATTTAAACAAAAGGAAGACTAGCGTAATTGATCAGACAAGATGATCCTCAATATGTTTGTAAGATGCAAACAACTATCTATGAGAGGTTAAACTTCCCAGCAATCCTGCTCTCAGTTGATGGTCAACAGTATCTTTCTTCTCATCTTAGAGGTGCTCCCAATACATGTCCTTTTCCAAATTATTGTCGGAAATATGTAACAATCAGTATTCAGTAGGCAAAGCACAAAACACAACAATATAAAATTGGGAATTTGGCAGTATCCAAGCTCAATATAGTAGGAACAGTATTTCAAGAATGTCTAGTAAGTTACCTCTAACTTGCATGCTTGGATCAGGAAAGCATTTGAAACTGACAATTAGATGCATACCTGGTGGGTGAACCTTCGATTTGGACTCCCAAATATGCGCGCTAAACCAAAATCCGCAAGTTTAAGCTGTCCATGTTGTCCTATCAATAAATTGTTCGGTTTCATATCCCTAAGAACAATGGTAAACAGATTTACCAAAACCCAGCAAATATGGACCTTGACGAATAACTGGTTAGTGAAAAACGTACCTATGCAATACCCATTTCTTGTGGCAATAAGCGAGTCCTTTCAGGGTCATCTGAAGGTACGACTTTATATCAGCTGGCGAAAGAACAATATTTCTATCACGAATGACTGCTTCAAGATCCGTCTCCATGAACTCAAACACGAGAAGCAAATTCCCCTTATGGAAAAAGGCATCGCTTAGCTCAATTATATGTGGATCCTTAAGCTCTTTCAGCAATTTAATTTCTCTAAGTGCAGTGAAATTCACACCTTCCTTCTGCTTCCCAAGGCGTATTTTCTTAATCGCAACAGTTTTTCCGATCTATGCATATTTCACATCATACTGTAAGTCAAAATTGAAAACCCAAAAACTTTTAACATCCTTATAAAGATAATAGTTTATCAACTGCCATGAAACCCGCCATAATGAGTAGCTCCAAAATTCACCAATTGGTTCTAGATAGAGAAACTAGTCAAATAATCGAATTCACAATCCATAAAGTTTACAAATTTCTTCATAACCAAAATTTCAGGTCAATATCTAATAATTAAATATAAGAACAGACTCAAATTCGTTGATTCGCAATTTGGTTCTTTGAATTAAAGGGTGTTCAGGTATGAATGGAATCCAGACTTGAACTTGGTAATGTTCTGCACAGACTGTCTGCACCCGGGCAGTAGACCCTAAAACATGAACTGACTCAGAGCTCGAAATTAAAATTTTGAAACAATGCTGTAGTAAAACTTTTAGAAGCTCTACAATCGTAAGCATAGGTTTGAAAATCCAAGAGTGTTGGGTTGATAAGAAAATATAGGATTAGGACCCAAAATAAATCTAATAAACCCTATTCTCCCATACATTATGACCCCAAACAAAAAATCAAGCCAAGAAAATAGAAAAGGTATAATTAAATGATTCCACACAAACAGAAATCAAATTTTAGAAGGAAATAATGGTAGTTACCGATCAAAAAAACAAATGATAGGTAAAATTCCGTAACGAAAAGGAAGTGAAATAAACCTTGGTGTCGATGGCTTTGTAGACTACACCGTAGGTACCTTCGCCGAGGACTTCACACTTCAGGTATCGATCGGCGACTTTCTTGGTGGGTTGATGATCCACTTCAGACATTTGTTTTTTTGGGAAGTTGATGTTCTTCTTACTGGATGCTCGCTGCCTGATAAACGTAGTTGAACTTCTACTGCGGTTTTTTTTTTGATCCAAACTTCTCCTGCGGTTAGTTAACAACACATGAGTGGTAATTTTGATTTGAGAACTTTTCTTAAACGAATATTTAAAAACTAAAAATAATTGCGTAATATTAGACTGACAAAAGAAATTAAAAATTAAAAATTAAATAATGTGATATTATTATAATAGTATTTTTGATTTCACTTTTATACATTTAAAATTCAAATTTGTTCTATGGTGATGCTATATCATTTGATCTATATTTTTTGTCGGTCTAGCACTACTACTCAAAATAATTTTGAAAGAAAATTTAAGATGTAGATAATAATTATTTTATAAAAGTGGCACTTCGACATGAAAAACTTAAAAATAAAAATACAAAACAAATGTTATTTTAAAATTTTTAAAAATAAATAAATATTTGGTATTTTGCGATGACTTATGAAATTGAAAAAATGATTCTTAAAATTATTGTACCAAAAGTACTCTACAAGAAAATATTGTTATCTCATAAGTACTATGTGGATGTTCGAAAAAAACACTTACTAAAAAATATTTTTCTAAAAAAATTTTTATTTGATAGAAAAATAAAAAATGTGTTTGGATGTTCAATAAAGACACGCTTATGTCAATAAAGAAATAAAAATGAGGAGGCAAACCAACTCTGTGTGTTAGGCTCATGGCTTGTCACCATCATCATTGTCACAAACGTGATTGTTATAACTATCATTGTCACCTCCCTCGATGTTACTACCATCGCCATACATCCATCACCTTTATAGTTGTCATCGCTACCTCTATTTGGAATAACTTATTTAAAGTTCTTTTGAATAAGTTAAAATAGGTTTTACTATTTCAATAAACTTCTAAGTAGAATCAAAAAAAAAACTCCTACTTCCTTGGAAGCACTTTATGCACAAAAACCCTTCTTATTTTAACATGCACCACCATCACCGCAATCGCTATCACTATCATTGCTATACACCACTACCATTGTTTTCACCACCACTATCACTACCACCTCTATTAGCGACACCACCACCGCTATCCAACCACCACTTCTATTACAACCACTGCCACTTCTGTTTAAAATGACTGATTTTAAAGTGCTTTTAAACAAGTTGAAGTAGGTTTACCACATCAATGAACTTATAAGTAAAAGCAATCAATGAAGCTCCTGCTTCCTTGAAAGCATAGACTATGGGTGTGTTTGGCGGACAAGTCAAAAGTTCATCCTTTAATTTGAAGCACTTTTCAAAGAAATAAGCTTTTTTGGCGTTCAAAAAAATTTGGACCTATCAAAAAGTGTATCTTCAAGATGATGATTCTATTTATGTTTGATTAATTGACCTTAAGCCTACCAATGTCTTTCTTCCGCACAAGCCATGAGCCTCTACAGATGATAATTTTGTATTTAAGGACTATGGTTAAATTTTACTCTTTCAGAGGTGTCTTATATGACTTGATCCGAAATGTGTACACTCAAGTGCAGGCGGTCAAGTTGTAGTAATAATCCGGTTAAGTTCGGAGTCGAATCCACAGGGAACTATGACTGGTGTTTTGAAGTAAGCAATAGTAGAGAACAAGTAACTGGAAATTTTGAGAGTTTGGAGTGGTGGGGTTTCTTGAATAGAATAGAAGATTCTTTTTAAGAGTTTTCTAGATAAAATATAAAATTCTCAAAATGTAACAGCCACCCTTTAGTTCGAGGATCAGAACATGTAATTGACTATCCGATTTGTTATGTTTGTGTTTTATAACTCAATTAACTCCCGTGTCAACAGCAAGTTAATCGGAAGATAAAGATGGATTGTAAGAATTAAGCACATGATTCTGATGTCTTTCTAAAAGTTTATAAGAATTGTCTGTGCCGAGACTTAACCCGTCTACAAACAAGCAAGTGTTTCTACAAGGCATCCAATCATGACATTAATGATCTATCCTTTGAATAAAGCGCAATTATAGTGGAGATTGAAAGGTTGTCAAGAAGAGCTAGTCAGGGTACTTGCCTTGAACCAACGGGTCTTTCTATGCAAGAGTCATCCGTATCATAGAGGGGAGCCCTTGGTTATACAAAGTACCTCAACTTTGTTAAATGTATTCAATCATCCAATGAGCAAGTGGAATATAAAGCATTAAAGCATATAGGAGTTGCACGAACATAACTTCCGGATAATCTTTACATATTCATCACCTCTTACTAAAGAGTGAATGAGGAGCTACTCAATCTTCATGGCCTTGGCAAAGCTAGAAAAGTGAGTGATACTCATCCCTCCAAGTAGAGGAGTTGCTAAGTAAAGCAAACTAAACAAAGAACTTATCTTCAATGAAGAATAAGTGAATCATTTTTCACCCTTCACGGCTTTGGTAAAGAACTAGAAAAGTGGAAGAGTTTCACCCTTTTAAGAAAGAAGGATGCTAAAGCAATAGAAGTGAAATACATGAACAATAAAAGTAGAAGAAAGTTAGTTACTTTGGAGGGTTTCCACCACAACCAAAAGATGAGTTATCTCTCTTGATACTTGTAAATAAAAGCAAGTACAACTACAAAGGGAGTCTAAACCTCCATCATGGTTGTCACAACGTAAATGTAAAGACTTAACATAAATAAATGAAAGACATCAACTGCAAGGGAGTCTAAGCCTCTATCATGGTTGATACTAAAATGAAACAAGCAATGTATACAAACTAACTTTCTAATTTACAAGAGAAGAAAAATTGCTAACAAGAATAGCTCTCTATTTTACAAGGAAAAGGATGCCCCTTAAGCTCCCAAATGGGAGTATTTATAGGCAAGGAAAGGGAGGTGGTAGGAGATAAGAGGGGATGAGAGAATAGTATTTGTCGCCCATGGAAACTAACTACTCTGCAGGCAGTCTGTGGAGTACGTTCGAACGTGAATCGACGTTCGAACGTTTTCTTCTGTTTTGCTTTAGGGATGTTCGAACGTTTTCTAACGTTCAAACATTTTTTTTGGTCTTGCTTTATAAACGTTTGAACGCCAAATGGGGCCTGACCTTTTCCACTCAAGTGGTCTTCTGTCAAAGTTTATTTTCACACTCTATGCTGAAAGTCTGTTCTTCAGTTGATTCCAAGGGACTTTCGAACGTTGAATGGCGTTCGAACGTTGTACTCAAGTGCTTCAGATCTTGAGAGTCCTCCTTTGTTTGCTGCAACACGTCATGTCTCATCAGTCTAGACTTCAATCAACTCAAGTGGACATTCGAACGTTAGTTGGCGTTCGAACGTGGTACTCAAGTACCTTAGGGTCCTGGTGCTTGACTGCAACACACTGTCTTAGCAGACTGGTTATGTCATAGTTCAAATGGATGTTCGAACGTGATTTGGCATTCGAACATTTTTGCTTTGTTCTCAGCCTCTCCAATTTCATTCCCTAATGTGCTGGTGCAACATTCAAGCATGACTTTTATTGCCCTCGAGCCTTTGTTCACTTTAGAACCTGAAATATCCTTACTTAAACTCCATCAAAGTACAATTAGTCTTGAAAAGGCATAATAATATGCTATATTTAAGTACTAATCAACCCCTACTGTGATTGCCACTCTCATGGAGTATGAGAGACCACCTCCTTCCACACCTGTGTATCCCCATAACATCACCAGGGTCAAGACCATTCCAAAATATGTGATGTCAATGTACGAGGACCCAACTCAATTCTAGGGAATAGTCCAAGTCGGGGGGCCCAAGCATACATATGGAATAATGAACAAGATTTTGCACAACAACCTTTTTCTAAGAGGCGCTGAGAAGACTCCTAACGTGGAGAAGCTGGCCCTCTTAGATGCAGTGATGATGGGGAAAGCCTTGGATATCTAGCTCTTTATTTGGGAGGTAATGAAGAACTTTTCCTAGGCTTGAAAGCCGAATGCGAACCTCCCTTTTGGAAACTTGGTGAATCGCATGTGCGATCATTTCAAAGTAAAGGGATATGCTTTTGACAAAATCACCCCGCCGGACACTGGAGCCATTGGCAAGGCTAATAGTTGTAAGAGGTCTGGTATGACTCGGGCTGAGCTTGCTAGGGCTTCGGGGTCGGGGTCGGCGTCATCCAGTGTAGGACCATCCTCTGAGGGGCCATTTATTCCTGGGTCTTCCTCTTATGCACCATAGCGCTCAGTGTCCCAGCGCCTTGATGCATTGGAGGAGACAGTTTGCGAGATCTCGGCAATGATGACCAAACTTTTCCAGCAAGCATTGATTAACCCTAATTAGTGTGTAAACTACAATGATTTAGTAATCAACTTTATAAGATAAAACCACTAAAAATTATCATTTAGGAGTAATTATAATTTGTGTGGAAATTACAGTTTTAAATACTTTATGTTTAAATTTCAAGGTCTAATGTAGAAATACCGGAGAATACGAGGCAATTTTACAAAATTTGAAACAATAAATGAGCAAAGTGTAATATAGACACATGGAACATCCAGCACGCGACACATTGATCAACTGCAAGGCACCTTGAATCTTAAGAACAAGACACTTGGAACCTCTTGCAAGGCAACAACATCTGGATGGTAATCCTAGGGTCCGGATGGTCACAAGGTGGCAAAGACTTACCTTTCCACCTCATGCTTGCATTTTGCCTATATATAGGAGTGTACTCCACCATTTCAAGAGGTCGGCCATCCTAGAGCTCCAAAGGGAGAAATCCAAGGGAAGAAAAAGAGAGAAAAAGAAAGAAAGAAAGAGAAACTCAAATACAAAGCTGGTCTGTCCTACACCAATATTCTGTATTTCTACATTTCTGTTGTATCTTTCTATTTAGATAGTTGAACTACCGCCACTTTTTTTGTCTTAATTGATAATAAAGGTGGTTGTGTTTTAGTTTTTCCATGTGAAAGAAGTTTTAGAGTTTATATTTTAATTTCAGTTGTAATGAAAATTGCCCGCACTTGTTGCTTGTCTATAGCAATGAAGAGTGAGTAGTTCACTTATACCCTTTGGTGAAGGATGAACATATGTATATTATTGGTTAACTTCT